CCTTCCCGGGGCCCGCCCGGGTGGCGTCCCAGCTGGCTCGCTGCCCTTCGAAGCTGTCTCTGGCGGTGGCACAACTGGCTCCAGGCCCGCTGCCTGTCCAGCTCCACGTCTCTTCGGAGACGGGCTGCCCGTGCCGTTGGCTCTTGGGGTGCTGCTGCCTGGGGGAGCGCAACCCCCTTTCCCCTGGCTCCCCTTGCAGATCAGCTACGAAGCTTCCCTGGAGACGCTGAGCCTGAAGCGGCTCTACCCCTCCTTCCTGCGCACCATTCCCAGCGACAGGCAGCAGGTGAAGGCCATCTTCCTGCTGCTGCAGCGGTTCGGGTGGACGTGGGTCACGCTGCCACAACGCCTACGGCAGGGAGGGCTCGGAAGCCCTCTACAAGCTGCTGATCGCAAGCGACGTGTGCATTGCTTACCGAGGCACCATCCCTACCCACGAGGACGCCAGCAGCCCGGAGCTCCACGACCTGGTCAGAATCCTCACCGACGTGAAGGTCAACGTCACCGTCGTCTTCGCCAACAAACATACCGCCCGCACTTTCTTCGAGGTGGTGGTCCAGAGGAACGTCACGGGCATGGTGTGGGTGGGCTCCGAAGACTGGTCGCTATCCCACATCATCTGGCAGGTGCCTGGCATCCAAAGGATTGGCTCGGTGATTGGGATGTCGGTCGAGGAGACGGAGCCCACGATGCTGGAGCGCTTTGAAGCTTGGAAGACGGCAGAGGGAAGTGCCGGCAGCATGGGGGCAGGCCGGGGAAGCGGAGGGAGCGCCCAGCTGGACTGCACCCCGCGCTGCACCAGCTGCCGCTCGCTTGCCGCCACCCCCGACACGTACGACGCCCAAGCCTCCTTCAATGTGTACTCGGCCGTGTACACCGTGGCCCACGGCCTCCACGACCTGCTGGGCTGCGCCTCGGGGGTGTGCAGCAAAGGCACAGTCTATCCCTGGCAGGTAAGAAGAAGAAGAACCTTGCGGAAGAGGATCCATGAGGATCCTTCCTCACGGGGAAGGATTTTCCCCTCATGCCCAGGGGTTTGCTGTCCCTCAGAGAGGCTCGTGTCCCAGCTGAAGAGCCTCGTGGGCTTCAGCTGCCCATCACAGTCAAAGCAGCCTGGACCTAGACCCAGACCCCCACCCCAGATCAATTCTGTTTCTCTGCCGCCAGCCCCATGCAGAAACCTGGAAGGGACTTTGGAGCTAGGCATACGCTAGTTGCTGAGGGGGTGGAAAGGGGAGCCAGAGCAGAGAAGGGGCCCTCCAGCACATGTGTCCCCTGAGAGATGGCACTCCTCAGCAGGAGTCTCCTCCGCGGGAAGGGTTCTTCTCTTACTCTTTTGTTTTACAGCTCCTACAAAAAATCAAGCGCGTAAACTTCACCCTGAACAAGAGCCGCATCTCTTTTGACGCCAACGGGGACATTCGTAGAGGCTACAACATCATCATGTGGAACTGGAGCGGCCCGAGCTGGGGTTTCGATGTGATAGGAACGTTCAGCATGAACCCTGACCGGCTGAGCATTGACCAGGGCAAAATCCAGTGGCACACAAAAGATCGCCAGGTACAGTTTTGCATCCAGATCCTGTTTATTGCTTACTACCGAGCCAGCTACATCCCCAACACCGCCAGCTCTGGGATATTTCCCCACAGCAGGCTGAAAATGAGGGCAGATGGAGGTGGTATGGGGGGGTGATCCACGTTCTGAGCATCGGCTTTCATGATTCTAAAAAACAAGCAGGACACACGAACCAAAAAGGTTCCCGGTTGCTACTTTTATCTTTAAAAGGTCGCACTTTCTCACCACTTCTATAAGAACCACGATGTGGTGAGCTCTTGGCTCCTGCCCTGTCTGTCCTGGGAGCCGGCCGCAAGCTGCCCGAAGGCTGTCCGTTGAGTTCATTTAATCCATGACTTCAGGCTCCATCTGTCGTAATGGTC